TATTTATTTTATTTCTTTATTAAATACATCAATTTAATTGTAGAGGTTAGCAAGTTGCATATAATAAAAATGCTATGTGCGGGAAAAACTGAGTTTTGAATGTGCTTAGAGTCATGGTTTGGAAGGCCTTAATGCATTTATTAGCATTTTATGTTCTGCACTGTCATGTGAACAGGAGCACGACTGCTCAGCATTTTTTGCTTCAGCTTGCATTGAAGCTGAACCACTATTGTGCGTGCCTAATGGTGCCTCAGTGTGTTACCGCAGCTGTACAATGAGATTATTTAAAAGCAGCTGGCACTTGTTTAACTGCTGGGCTACCATCTCCCTTGTGGCCACTATCTTTCTGGTTGTACTCCAGAACCTGTTTTATGTAGATGCTGAGACTACACGCCATAATCTACCCAGATACATGCCATACAGTGCACACGTGTTACACAACTCTGGCTTCAAAACATTTATGCCAGATTGGCATTGGAGAGTAAGAAGGCAGTGAAGGAGCTGGAAAAATCACTAGGGAGAAATCTGTAGATGTTTACTTAAAGAAAGAGCAGCGGCTCTTGTTAAACCTTTGGACGTCATGTGATTTTCAGTTAAATAAGACTGAAAAGCTAGGGAAGACATCTGGCCTGAGTGCTGGGGTGGTGACAAGGTCTGGCAAGGTCATTGTGAGCATTTGTACAGGGAAATTTGTCAGCGACAGGAGCAGAACAGGTGCTGGCCCCAGGCAGTCGGTGCTAGAGGAGGAAGGTATTCCTGTTCCTGGGCATGAATGTGCTGGAGAGTCAGCAACTGAGAGATACAGTACTGGGCAGGGGTGTTGGGAAGCATACGCAATAGCTGGAGAATTTGTGGCTGGTAGAAGTACTTGGTGTCGATACCGTTCTGATCCTGAGATTGTTTGAAGGTAGATGGTTGGATACATCCATACCTTGACATTTGTGTAATACCACATGGATATTCACGCCATGTTTGCAATGAAGAAAAACGGGATTAGAACCTTGTTGTCACTTCACTGCTTTGTGTGGGTACCTGGATCACTCGTTTTCCATGAGAGTCAGCGAGAGCATGAGAGATCACACTATAAGAAAGGTTTGGCCCATGGTCTCCTTGCAGTTGTTTAGTAAAAATAATGTGTATTTGTGTTTTACTTGCAGGTTGGGATGTTTAAGATTCATCCTGAAATTCCAGAATCACTGTCTGCTGAAACAAGGGCCTTTATTTTGCTCTGTTTTGAACCTGATCCTAGTAAACGTGTTACAGCATCTGATTTGCTCAGAGATTCCTTCATGAAACAAGTAAACAAGGGCAAGAAAAGCAGAATTGCATTCAAGCCTTCAGGTAAGGAATTATCATCGTTAAGTGTTGTATAAAAGATTGGAGTCATTAAGCACTCTCTTTCAGAAAGGACATTTCTTGTGCCAGGAAAGCAGCAGGAACTCAACTGTTGAAAGTGCCTGTGATTTGTAATTAGACATATTTAAATTTAACAATCCCCACAAAATATGGTGTCTTGCTTATTTTGTGTTTTGCTTGCTGAAATCTCCCAACCCCATTTTTCCTCTCCCCAGAAATAAATGCCTCATTTATAGTCAATTAAAACTAGAAAAATGGCATTTGGTGGTGACTTTCCAAAGCAATTCTACATTTTAGATTCACAATTATATATGCTTCAGAGATATGAGTTTTATAGAGTAGGTGTTTGGCACCTGAAAATGTGGGTCTATCAGGTGTTCAGGTCTACATGGCTCAGCATTTTCAAACTTGATATGTGACTCAGAAATTTGGCACATAGGTGCTGAAGCAGCTGTTTAGTGGGTTGTTTTGTTTTATTTGCCTAGCGTGTTCCTTCACCCCCTCCCAACATAGTACAGTTTGGGTCGGAAGGGACATTAAAGATAATCGAGTTCCAACCCCCCTGCCATGGCCAGGGACACCCTCCACTAGACCAGGTTGCTCAAAGCCTCATCCAGCCTGGCCTTGAACACCTCCAGGGATGGGGCATCCATAGCTTCTCTGGGCAACCTGTTCCAGTGCCTCACCACCCTCACAGTCAAAAATTTCTTCCTAATATCTAATCTAAATCTACCCTCTTTCAGCAACTTTCTCAGTGATAAGATAATAAACCTTAATATAGACCTGCTAAATAAATCATTAGTGTTTGAAGGAACAGTCCATTTAAAAACAGGGAAAGCCATTGGCCTTGCTGTTTCTTTCCTACCTGCACATGCACACACTACCAATGCAAATGGAATTGCTTCCCTTTTTGAGCTTTTTCCCCCTCAGCAAGGAACATTTGAAAGCATGGAATTCCAAGGGGAAAAACTAGCACAGAATTTATAACATCTAGCTGAATTGGTTTCAGCAAGGAAACCTCTTGTCCTGAGAGGCATTGGGAACTGCAATCCCTGCAGTTACGCTGGGATAAGGGGACAGCTCGCGCTCTCAGCGAGGGCGGCAGCAGTCAGGAGCTATTGGCAGGCTGTAGCTTTCTGCCCCACTGTAATAATGTTCTCTTGGGGCCTTTTGGCCCTTGCCTGAGGACATTTTCCTGAAAAAATTGCGTGGCACTAGAAAGGGTGGAGCTTGCCTTGTTAGCTGCCCTGGGAGCAACAGGCTCTTTGTCAAATACCAGGGGAGGGGCAGCTGTCTTCTGCACCCCCTCCCTCCTCTTGCCTTCCTCCTTCCTTCTCTTCTCCTGCTCGCGGATGAGGTTATGGAGCTCCTTCAGATGGCCTGAGGGTCTGGTGCTGCAAGGTTAAGCACTGAGCTGCAGCAAGAAGCAAGCTCAGTGCTGACCATGGACACGAGTGGAGCGGGCAAATGCTATGAAAACTGTTTATTGGGTGAGAGGAGGAAAATGGAACATGGCTGCAGCCGAGTGTGTGCTCGGCTGGGCCGGAGCTGGGGAAAGCTGTGCTGGCTGCTGCTGCCATCTCCAAGGGAGTTTGGGGGCATAAGGCAGGTGCTGGCCCAGCAGTTGCCCCAGTCTCAGCTGCAGCAGTTCACTCTGTCTCCTCCCTCTACTGTTTCCCTCACCGCCAATCTCCTCAGCTTTGTCCCCATCTTTCCATCCTCTCTCTATCCCTTTTTTCTTTCCAATAATAAAAGCAGCCCAGAGCACATCTCAGCCCTTTACTCTTGGGACGGCAACTTCAATTTTCTGTACTGCTGAGATGCCTTGAACCAGTACTCACAAGGTGACACATATTGTTTCATTTCTGTCACTGTTTAACCTCAGCCATTTGGACATCAGTCATGTTCTATGGAGTATTTCAGAGCTCTCTGAAGAACTTTTAGCTTCTCACTCTGTTCCTCCTCCACCTCCACACAATTTGTAGTGAGAAGCATCACAAACTTTTGTGATATTTTATCTTCCTCTTCTTCACTCTGAGTTGACAGAACTTCTTCCTTACCTGTCCTGTCACACAGCTGCAGACTGTCAACCAGGATTATAGCAAGCTCTCAATATCTGTTTGTTTTTTTCTTCTAATTTCAAGATGAATTGGTAAAGGACAAGAGATTTCCTTCAGGCTAAGAGAGAGAGAGTCCTTATCGAGGGCAAGGAGACAAGGAAGTGAGGCAGATGCCTTGGGTGTCAGAGAGGGAGCAAATATATGTCCGTTAACACAGTCTGGCAGAGGTGAGGAGGGCGCGTAGCAGAGCACTCCCTGCTTAGAGATACGCCTGTGGCGGAGTAGCTAATGGGAACCCATTGGTTTGATTCAGGCTCCTTAAACGGCTTTATATCCAGTTGTACAACTTTGTGAGAGCGGCACCAAGGGGGAGTGTGTACCAGTGCAAGAAAGGGTAACAAAATAGCATTTCATCTGAGTATCTAGGTGCTTTGCCATCTTTGGGTTAAATCATTCACACCTTTTATTGCTTATGCATGTAATGATTTTGAGTTGCACTGCTGCTTTCTATCAACAAGGCTACCTCTCCCTCAGCCATTTTGCAAAATGAGGTTTTTTGCATCACTGAAGATGATCACGGCTGTTTTAAGCACATTTCCCTTTTCTGCCTACTTCTGTTACATGTTTTACAATGTCTGTTCATAGATTATAATCGCAATACATCCCTCTCGCTGCCAGTCCACGGAGAACAAGCTGGCAGCAGCAGCAGTGAGCATGGCTCTGTTTCGCCAGACTCTGATGTACAGCATGACATGTTTTTCAAAAGGCCAAAGAGATCCATTTCAGAGATTCAGACAAAGCATCCCATTTCCCATTTATTAAGGTAAAGCATTTGCTTTTTGCTTGACATCCGTGAGGGATTAGGTGGATTTAATTCACATTATATTTTATCTGAGGGCAATTTTTTCACATAATGACTAGATATGCAGTGTGTTAAACAAGAAGCCAGTTGTACAGGCAAGTTGCCAGTTAATTTAAATATTGTCTATATTTAATTAATGAACAATGATTCTTTCTCCTTAAGGTTTACATGTATTTATATACTTTTCCCTCCCCAGTGAAAAAATGTCAGTTGTCTTACTGACTGAGTGGATATGGATTCAGGAGTTAGCAGAAGAACTGACCCTTCCATGTAGTCATTAAAAAAAAGTGGGAAAGGGGCAGCAGAAAGATAGTTCTGCTGATCAGAGAGCACAAAGCAATACTTTCAAATGAGTATGTTGCAGTATGGGGCCAGAAAAGAAAAAATAGTTATCTCAGCAGGGGTTTTCAGCTTTCCTCCCTAAAAATGAACCAGCGCTGGGTGATATTGATGCCAGCTTCTCAGTGGGATGAAATCAGCCTTCTGCTTTCAACTTCAGTGAGGTTTATGCCAGCTGACGATCAGAACCATCTTCTGTCTCAGAATTAGTGTTTAACAGTCTGATCAATCCACTGCTGTAGTTTAACTCACTTCTTAACCTCTTAAGTGTCCCTACTCGCTTCTGACAGTACTGCCATGTTGCTAATGCTGAGGTATCTCTTGTGCGTGTGGCCCGGTTGCTGATGCAGCGTGCCTGATGAGGGCTCAGCCTCGGAGGACAGGAGCTCTTCTCCTTCTCTTGAGGATAAGGATTGTGGTCTGTTTCTGCTGCGGAAGGACAGTGAACGCCGAGCGATCCTATATAAAATCCTTAAGGAAGAACAGAATGAAGTTGCTTCCAATTTGCAGGACTGTATTACACAGGTAATGTCACTTCAGCTCTCCTTATCCCATGTCAAAAAGGAAAATGACAAGGTAGGTAGTACCATTCCTTTTCTGAAAACTAATAAATGCAAATGCTTGGATTGTTCCTTATGAAGATCTTTAATCTCTAAGGCCCGTAACTGTGGGAGCCATTTGCTACTGTATGAATGGATAGCGAACACCACCTTTTGTATGTTGTTGGGCTCTTGGGGTTTTTCGGAGGGGGAGGTTTGGTGCATTTGATGTGGGATTGGGAGGCTGAGGTTGATGGGTTGGGTGGTTTTGAAGTTGTGTTTTGTTTTGGCTTTTAAGGACATGGAAATGGAACAACAGGTAGTAATGGGTATTATTTGCTTTAAGGATAGAGAACTGATTAACCACTTTTAATTCAAAACAAATGTAAACTAGGTGCCAAGAACACAGTACATGAATCTTAAAAAAGCTAAGGTAGATTTTCTGTAGAGGGAAGGGTGGAGTGGGAAGGTTTAGTGACTGTAAAGAGGAGCAAGAAAAATTAATGTTCGGTTAACCCATAGCCAAGCAATGCCACACACCAGTAACAGAGGTGATTGCTTAGCCTTTTCCTAATGTCTGCTTCTGGTGTGCTGGTGGTGTCTGTTCTTAACAAAGCTCTGTCTTTTCACCTCGACTGCATTCACAGAAGGGGCAGCCTGCTGGCTCTTCTTGTGGTGCCCCCCGGCTGGCTGCTGCTCTCGGTGCAAAGGCACTTGCAGCGCCGCTGCCGGGGTCCCTGATGCTCCCAGGCAGCTCCAGCTGAGCCCGGTGTGGGCAGCCGGCTCCACACAGCGCAGGGGTTTGCTTCTCCTCCATGAGTCACTTCCCCTACACGCTGCCTAACGGCACAGTTCGGCGTGCTCCAGACCCTGGGGGCTCCTGTAGAGCTTTACAGGCCCAACAGAAAGGCCCACAGAGCTCAGGCTGGGGGAGCAATTGGGGTAAATTTCTGCTCTGAGCTTAAACTGCAAAAGAGCTAATAACCTTACAGAGGAGTAACATTCATATGTGAGATCTCAGTCAGAAATAACCAGGGCTCTAAATATTTTCCAGGATAAAGAAGGATTATTTAGTAACAGCAAGTCCTACCTCAGTCTCCAGCTGTTTTTCAGCACTGCTGTAATCATTTTTTCCCCCATAATTTCTGTAATACTTCTCCCTTTACCTTTTAATTATGCAGGCTGTTGTTCTTACAGGCACTTGGATAGCTTTAACTGTAGGAGTTATGGACTGCAAATCATAGAATGAACACTTGAGTACTATCACTGTGTGATCTTAGACCTTTTTCTAACTTATGATAAATGCATATATTTTTGGCTAAGTAAATAAAGGAAATAAAATGTCTACATAATTAGATATAAGTCCAGATTTAGCTTACTAGAAGGATAGCATCTGAAAAATTTGGGTCTCTTATGAACTCATTCTGCTGTTTTTATGGAGGAGGACTGCCCTCTGCAGTACATTGGAGAAACGTGTGGACATTATCTGGACCCTCTTCCCTTTGTGACAGCCACTATTTTTTGGAAAATAGGAATGACTATTAAAAAATTTTAGTTAGAAAAAGTGGAAAATAAAGGCTTTGCCGAAACTAAAGTTCTGTGATTTCTGTGCATCAGTGTGAAATATACATGGGCAAAGCTATACATTTTAACCCTAAAAATACTAATGCTACTAATTAAGATGTTTAATGATTCTGGGATTTACTTGATATACATTCATCATCTTTTCTCCAGAGCTCTGAAGAACTGCAACTTTCAGTGGCTCACATCAAGCAAATTATTGGGATTTTAAGGGACTTCATACGCTCTCCAGAGCAGAGAGTGATGGCTTCTACCATATCCAAGTTGAAAATGGATTTGGACTTTGACAGCACTTCCATCAATCAGATTCATCTGGTGCTGTTTGGCTTTCAGGATGCGGTGAGTCCCTTGCCTAGCACAGGGGAAGAAGGGTTCTCCCTGGACAGCCTCTGCGCTCTTCCTCCTTACCCTGCTCATGCAGAACAGCCATTTTCTGCCCCAGTTCCTCAGAAGCTCTCTTGAGAGCTTGCTGGGGAGGGTGGGAAGATGTGGGCAGTATGGAGTAGACAAAGCCCTGGTGACTGATTGTATAGAAGACTAAGAAAAGACTAAAGGTGTTTGAAGGTCAGGTTTTCCCTGGTAACCTGTGGATCACCAGTGCTGAAAGTTCCCTTGCTCTAGGAGGAAGACTGGGGTGCAGCCAAGTTCTTCAGAGGGGCACATGGGGCTGGACACAGAGCCCTGATGTGCTGGGCCCTCAGTGAGCTTCACGTGGGCACTCCTAGGAAGGCCTTGAAGCCAAGGGTGGTGCTGCTCAAAGGGCTGCCCGTGCACTCACCGCGAGCTCTAATGTTGGTTCTGGATCCTACGTTTATTTCCTGTTCTACCCCTCCTTGTGCTCTAGAGGGGCTTGAATGTCCCAGTCTGGGTACGGATTGATAGCTCTAGTCTCAAACTGTCAAATCTGTTGTGTAGACTTTCAAAGGTGGGAGGGTTTTAGTGACTTGTGCAATTGTTACTTGACAGAACATCTCACTATTGAGAAACAGGATTCTCTTTCCTAAGGTGTAAGCAAATGTTGTTTGCTTCTGCTTTTACTTGCTTATTCATTTATAGGTGAACAAAGTATTAAGAAATCATTTAATAAGGCCCCACTGGATGTTTGCAATGGATAACATAATTCGCCGTGCAGTCCAAGCAGCAGTCACTATTCTTATTCCAGGTAAATCAAAGCAGCTGAAAATAATATATTTTTTTTTAAAAGGCTGTTTGCATATCAAAGAGTTATAGCAAATGAAACAGTTTAGATGTTTAATCTGTCAACGTGCCATTAACTGCATCCCATGTGCCACTGCATCAAAGGCAGAGGGTCAGAATGTTGCACAGAAGGAAGTGTTGATCTGGAAGATTAATGCTGTACTTAAGCACATAATGAGGAGATAACCAGTGGTTCTGCACCACCAGGACAAAAAAAGGCAAATTAAGTTCAGTCTAAGCTGGAGCTTTTCCAGCAAGAAAGAAAATGACTCTGTACAACATTTTAATGATGTCCAAGGTGGGTAATGCTGCGCAGATCTGGTTATGTGTTCTGAAAAATGATTACTGAGCTGTGGAACAGATGCAAAGGGAGTGCATTAGTATGAGGAGGAGTATGGTTTTGGCCTGCAGAAAAATCATCACCACTGAAAAGGAGGAGGAGGACAAATGACTGAGAGCCGTCTGGAAGTAAGTTGTAAATTTTCAAGTAGTTTTGTAGGTCTCGAAGTGCTGAGCACCCCTTCCAGTATGAGAATGTTCTGACACCAATCAGTGATGGTGAGCCCTTTCAGTCCAAAGTTACTTTTACTTTCAAGCCAAATTGGCCAAATTTTTTAGGACTTTGTAGAAGAAAAATGCCAGCTATTCTGTGGTGGGAAGCATGGCCACCTGCAGCAAGTTCTGAGAGAACTGGGGTCAGAAATGCTACCTGGAAAAGAGGAAGGCTTTGTGAATTCTGTGGTCAAGGGCACTAGGGGAAAACTTTTTTTTTTTTTTTTTTTTTTTTTAATGCAAGCTTTCAAGGGTTTCTCATTAATACCTCTGGAGACACACTTGTCCAAAACAAATAATTTCTTACACTGTTTCCTTTTTCCAGAGCTTCGAGCTCACTTTGAGCCAGCATCAGAAACAGAAGCTGGGGACAAAGACGGTGATGAAGTGGAGGACAGTTCCCAGCCCACTGAACAAAATGGGGCTGAGGATCCTGCCATCACATCAGGAGTCAGCACCCTTGGTTCTGTCATGTCACATAGGGCTCAGCAGCAGCTTAGCCTGGAGTTGGGCAGACTCAAACAAGAGACCTTAAGGTAACCCTCCTATAAAGAGACTGTGTATTTATTTTCAGTCAGTCTTTGAAAAGCTCTCGGACATTGCTTTCTACAGTGACACGTACATGCATAACATAAATAATGCTCACCTCCCACAATTGCCTCATGATAAAGCAGTCCTTCCAGGACCACAAATGGATTCAGAATACGCTGGCAGCACTGGTATGACAACTCAACAGCCTTCAGTACAACCTTTGTTTCAGTGTAATTAGTTTTTAATTGCAGAATGTTGGATTTCTACTACTGTTAAGTAATTAGGCTTGTGCAACTGTGCCAGTTCCTTCCTACTTCCTTGGTTCCTTGGATGCCACCTGACCCAGCGGCAGTGCCCTCAAGGCTGTTCCTGCAAGGAACAGCCAGAGCCGCTCTGTTCTGGCCCAGGGGACAGGCTGCCCGCTGATTAGCGCAACCGGAGCTCAGCAGAACCACTGTCCTGTTTCTCCTGGGTTATGGTCGCAGGCTGCTGCCAGTGTGTTAACAGCTGAAGGTCCCACTCTTCTTTATGGTTGTGATGTAAATCTGCAATAATAAATTCCCTGCTAAAACATCAGTGCTATGCTGTTCGGCAGTAAATTACAGTACAAAGGCAGCAACTCTGCCCAGGGAGCCTGCAGAACACTAGGAAGAGAAGTTACAAGCTAAATTCTGCAAAGATGAAAGCCTTAAAGTGCCACCACTAAGCTGAGTGTCAGACAACCAAAATGAAATCTGTTAAGCTATAAAATACATTACTTAAGACAATATCTCTTAAGTGCCTGTGTCCTCTGATAGTCATTAAAAGTTTTTTTTTTTTTCAGCTAGACTGATTCTCAGTATGGTTGCTTTTCATCTCTCTTGTACGCTAACAGGCTTTTGGAAAATCTTGTTCAGAAGGAGAAGGAGTATCAGACCCTCTTACGACAATCTTTGGAGCAAAAAACTCAGGAATTACGCTTGCTTCGATTAAAACTTAAACCTGAAGGTATGAGGAGATACTCCATACTTTGCCAGTTGCACACAAATATATTGGATCATGAGTTTGTTTAAAGGATCAAAGACCATCCATTTTAAGCTTCAGTAGTCTGAAAATTACCACTTTTGCTCTAGTTTTGAGGTGTATAAACTTATACATTTTTTTCTGTTAAAGACTCCCAATTGTCTGCAACAACTTTTAGAGAGAATGCAGACCCTGAGCTCATGAACTGGCTGAAACAACAAGGAGCAGACTTGGAAGCCATTAAAAGGGTAAAAAAAAAAATTAAAAACAACAAAAAAAAAGACCTTTTAAAAGGTGGTCAGTGTAGTCATAATTAGCAGTTTGGTTTCAAAGAAGGAATATCAATTCAGGAATAAATTTGCCTTTTAGTTTGCTGAAGAAGATTATACACTAAGTGCTGTCCTTAATGATATCACTAAAGATGATTTGCGGTATCTTCAACTGCGGTAAGAAAGTACTTCTTAGTTCATTGTTAAGAATTGTTAATTAAAGTAGTTTATAAAAAAACTTTTTTATATAAGTTAGGTTATTCAGATAGGTCAGTGGTAGTTTAGTTCAGTGGCAACTGCTGTGAATTTAATCTCTGATTTTCTGTTAAAAGTTTTTCACATCTGAACTGACACAGCATAACAACAACTACACCAAGGGTGCTTCAAGCCATTTAAGTTTTGGCATTTGTCAAGGGTGGGAGATACTGCTGCACCTTTCAGGATGATGTAATCGTATGGAAAATAGGCATGAAGAACTTACTTTTCCTACCTGTGGATTCAAGTCCCTTCATCATAATTCTGTTAACCCCTGGCTGAGCAGGAAGCAATTGTTTTAGCTATAACCTTAAAGTGTAGTGTTTTTTAGGTAGTCATAACTGGTATATTCTTGGGATTTCTAGGTTTTACTTCTTGCTTAATTTCAGGTAATGGAGAGGAGGGGGTTCTCCCTAATGGTTCTCCATGCTTCTTCATACAGGGGTGGTCTTCTCTGCAGAATTTGGAATGCAATATTAAACCACCGCCAAACATCTGGGAAGACCTCAGTGCAGATGAGTAAAGCTTCAGAAGGAGAATGTGTAAGCAGAAAAAGCAAATGAAAAATACATTCCTAATACTTAAATTATTAGATGTATATATGTATGTATAGTGGCCTTGCAGGTTTTGCACAATTATGGTGCTTGTTTGACCATCAGTGTAATACACAGTGAGTAGGAACAGCTTTTAACTCTATGTCAATGAACTTAAAATTATTTATGAAAGAGTAATGCAGAAGTCAAATGGCTAAAATGTAAAGCATTTGCTGAGAAAAAAAAAACCACCACCCTTTTCTGCAAAACAGGTACCACCCATCTGCATTGGCTTTAGCATTGTGAAAACTGTTAACTTAAAATGTGTTACAGTTCTGATGGCTTGAGCAGGGAGGGGATATGCTAGAGCATATGTCACCTCTTTATAGATGAATGTATATAGCTTTTTGTATTAAAGCTATTCTCACTGAACTACTACGAAAAGGCTGGTGTCATGTTTTCATTTAGTAACTTTTCTGCAGCAAAAACACCGCATCTAAATGGCTTTTTGGTGTTTTTTGGGGGAAAGTGGTTCATCAAGAATCAAAGCAAGCAGACCACCAGATAAATGTTGAAAAATTTAATTTTTTTTTTTTTACACTGTACATAACACATACAGCAATCCAAAAAATCAGTAAAGCAAAGATATAGCAATTTAAATAAACTGCTGCTTTCTCTTAACTTAGCTCCTTCAGAAACATCATTCAGCATGTTTAAGAAAATCCATACTGAGAAGGATTTCCCTAGACATTTCATCTTTTGAAAGAGCTTTTAAATAAACTTAAGGTTTGTTTCTGAGTCATAAAGGTATTAACTTATTCTTTTGAATAAGTTATGCCAACAAAAAGGTCTTTAGCTGACAGACTTGTACCTTATCCACTGGTTTGGGCCACGCACTTCAAAGGGTGGCTCGTTGAAGTACACGTGGTTACCTAGTTCTTCCAATGGTGGCTCCGGGTCAGTGGTAGCAAACTGAGCAGCTTCCTCGATCTCCTTCCTTACTGCCACATCAATTTCCTAAACCAACATCAGATGCTTATTAGAAGACAGAACAGAAAAAGCAGCATAATTTTGAATTTAAACACAATGATGAAGTATTGGTCAGAATTACTGTTAACACTGTCTATAAAAAGAAATTAAAAACCTGTGAAAACTAACTTCCTACTAAAGGGCAGTATTTGTCCCTTTGGGATAGTATAGGTAACTTATCGCCAGAGGAACATGACATTTTTAATTCCAATTCTGCAAAACACTGACAGTGTAATTTTTTTTTTTTTTAAACAGAGTTGGTGAAAGTCTATATTACATTTGCTTAGAGGGTCTTTCATTAGGATTTTTCACTATTGATAATTTCCTTTTCAGAGACCTCCTTCTCAGGCAGTCTAGAAAGCCTGGGTAATTTTGATTTCTGCACATTAGTATAGGACAAGAGCTGCATTTGAAACACTAACATCCCCACCACCCCCAGCCTTGCACCACTGAGTTATACTCGGCACCCAAAAGCAAAACACCTTTCCAGCAGAGTGCAACTTCATTAGTTGGTCTGCAACAAAACGTCATCTTCACCAATGAAAGTGATGTTAAAACAAACTTTAAAGAACTTCAAAAGAATAAGCGATGCACGCTGCCCTATGATGTGCTTTTCAGAGAGTGTGGATGCTCAAGAGCTTGCTTAAAGAGCAACTAAAAGCCATACCTTTAATTCTTCAACGCTAGCAAGGTTACTGTTGACCATTCTGTCCTTCAGCGAAGTAATGGGATCACTTTTGCTCCTCACTTCCTGAATTTCTTCTCTAGTACGATAGCTAGGAACAAGACAAGCAAAGATACTAACTTTTTCAGTGGTATCCTTGAACGGATGTGAGGTTCTGGACAGAGCTCACTTTTAGAACAAGGTGTGACCAAAGAATTGTCAGGAATGCAATGAAAATACAGTGACATTCATCACTCAAAGGGTGGCACAGCTACATTTAGAACACTTCTTAGAAGATCTGTAAGCGGCAACTGAGATGAAGTAGCTCCAGACTCATAACATAAGCAGGGAATCCCAGCCTGAGACAATTACTACAAGGGGCTACATTTCCTCCTTCCCATCTCCCCTAAGCAGGGGCTAGATGACTTGCTGTGCACTTCCAACTCACTACAAGTTTCCAACAAAGCACTGGGATACACCTCTACTTCATGTAGACAAACTCAGATTTGTCAGCTGGCACAATGCCTGAGCCTTTTTGTATATTTATATTTTTAAGAATTTTTCCCCGTGACTGAACAGTCCAAACAGTTCCTATAATTTTAGTTTACAGGAATTTACATACTCTAAAAACCCTGGAAAAGCATGCTGCTTTTCAATCAAAGCTTGATCAGAACACACCATGAAATCACACTGAAAGCAGAATTAATTAATAGAAAGTACAGCAGTTTAACTGACTTTGTGCTTTTTCTGCAAGTAAAACAGGTATTGTAACATCGCCATGGATTATCAACTGAGCAATGAGATGAGTGATCAGGCTGCCCACAGCAATTCCATCACAACCTTTATATGCACTTCACAATGGATTTAAACATCAAATCCAAAAGTTTCAGGATTTTGACCATCAATACTTATTTGTTTTCAGTGAATGCCAGTGAATACCTTATTCCAGGGTCACTCATGCTGTGGCCATGATAACGATATGTCTGCAACTCCATCAGAATAGGACCCTCAAAAAAAAAAAATACAGTGTGTTACCACCTTGAGTGACCAATTTGTTGTTATAGCAGCAAGTACTTGCTATAGGTGAATTGCACCAGCAATGAATGATTTTAATTCAATGTTTTTCTCAGTTTAATTTATGTAACATTATCGCAACCAGTAAAATTAAACTTAACTCTTTTCAACTGAAAGTGTATGTTGATATTGTCGCATTTATTCTCATGTTCTTATTCAGCAGCATTAAACAATTCCTTCCCTTCCAATGCCATTCCATCACTACTCAGACTCTCAGATTCCCTGTTGCTTCACTGTAAGATTGTAACTCACAGAACCTTGTTCTCCTGTATGAACCTTTTTCTTTTTCTGCTGTATGTTCCCAGAACAAACATTACTTCACCAAATATTAAAAATCTTCAAAACCAGTGTATCACACTTGGGTGACAGACACTAACGCTGACTCACAAAACTTGTACTTCACTTTCCATTTGCTGTAAATATAGAATGATTACTACTTTCCTTGATGCTTCCCCTAATTAATCTCTTCACAAAGAACACAACTGCCTGACAGTCAGAACACTTTTCACAACAGAACTTAACTGGGGTAGATGTGGGGAAAAAGATGACAGAGTATCATGACATATATATATATTTTTAAATGCTTGTTTAATGCCAACTGCATGTTAATAAATTCTAACAAAATTAAAGAACCACTCAATTGCTTACAGGTTCAATACTGTGGAGAAAAAAGGAAATAAAAGGTCAAATAAAGTTTTAATGGTGATTGGAGAAAATGGGCTAGATGAGGAACTTTTTATGCAGCAATAATCTGGCTAAGAATTTCACCTATGGAAAAGGAATGATGATTACCAACTTACTTTTCCAGCTCTACAGTACTCAGCTGCAAACTTTGCCGCTTCTCGAACGCAGAGAACATCCATGCCATCCACCTGATAAACAGAAACTACAAGTTGAGGCAAAAAAATGCCAAAGCCCAAATTTCCAATTTCAGTACCTCCACAGCACAACAGGAATTCAGTTTCAAACTTTCTGTATTTAAAAAAACATTTATAAATAAAAGAAATACATACATACGTATGCATTGTGCAGGTGTGTGCACACACATCCCCCCACTTCCACCAGCCTCTGCAAAAAGATCTGGGATTGTACTCACCCTGAGCCCTGGAATGAAGTCTCCTCTTTTGTAGTAGTCAGTACTAGCTGCAGCTCTTTCAACTGAAGTTCCCATTCCATACCGATTGTTCTCGCATATAAAAATACAAGGCAACTTCCATAAAGCAGCCATGTTGTATGTTTCAAATATCTGGCCCTGAAAGAAAAAGAGCAAGTTACATCTAGACAGGGAGCTCAGCCTTCAAGCATTAGGCTCTACTGAAAATCATTCAGTTGCAGAGGCCTAGCTAAGAGAGCTTTTAAAACTAATAGTGATCTGAAACCAGCCACTTGCCGCAGCTCAGCAAGAATAAAAGAAGCTACACTACATAAGGCAACTTTCATCTCACCTAATAGTTTACAGAACTTACTTTATAAACCTGTTTCAGTACCTGTGTTAGGGTAGCATAAAACCTTCAAATTTAACTGAAGTATTTCAGCAACAGTCATAAAAAAGTCACAATTGATTAATACTACAGGATGCTGCTACAGCAAAGAAAAGTTGAACCACAGTGACTGCATCAGCCTTGCTACTCTATGTCAAAGACAGGGAAAACCAAGAACTGAGTTCTTATCTGTCTTCTGAAAGTGGGAAATCATATCAATGGTACACTCTGAACCACCAATTTCTTATCTGGCTTAATGTCTCTCCTGATAACATGATGAGACTGGCCAGAATGTCAATAATAAGTGGCTCTGCAAGAAGCTCTGCCCTCTCCTCTGCCTTCAGGAATGTAAGTTACGTTTCTTCCTACTTTGTGGCACTGCCACCTTCACTGCCATCGTTCAGAGCTCTCTTTACAGCAGAGACTTCAGGGATCATACTTAGGTGAGTCATGCACAACTAGAAAGAGGATAACAAGAGAAACAAGAAACCTCTCCTCCCACGACTTGCACAGCATTCACTGTGTACTTCACAACAAAAGCCCTATGAAAAATTGCAGTGGAGTGTAGGACAGAGGGTGCACATTATCTTCTCTCTCCGGGATTGCTTTTTCAGCATCAGTGGACTCCTTTAATAAAACATACTTGCAGCAGAAAGCCCAACATACAAATCTCAGCGTACGTTCCAGGTCAGACGTTGCCTGGCTTGCAGGTACTACACAGACAGGGTGAAAGGTGCTCTCCCACCACGCTGGGGAAAGGCAGAGCTCACAGTTCACAGAAG